CTCAATATCTCTAGCAATATTTGGTTCATGGACTATTGCAGAAAATCATAGCAAAAGTATTTCTAGTATGGCATTAAAGTGTAAACTCTTTGTTACAGTCATTGTTTGTTATCTTACATTTCAATTTGTATTTTCATTTGATTTGAATTTGTATCTTATAATTTCATGTTTGATTTGATTAAAGGTTTACTATTTGTGCTACCAAACTCTCAAAGTAAAGCATCCATATATTGTGTAACATATTTTATTTGTTGATAAAGGGTAGGTAATCAACTCAAAAAACTAATTAAGAACATTTTCTATTTTAAGATTCATTGACATTCTTAAACAATGATGAGATGGAAAATGTATTAACTCTTATATAGGCTACAAAAAAATTTAATTAGGTAAATGATCATCCCCATCTCTATAAGCCTTATTCTAATTAGATAAGATTGGTTATATAAATTCACACTCTTTACTAATGTCAATCAGCTTCTTCATGGCAAAATCTATCCAATTTATTTTCAATCGGCCTCTTTTTTCCGCTAACGCCTCAATATTAATTTTAATTAACTATATATTGTGAAAATATGAATTATTATCATTAATTAGAACACTTAATCACATGTGATTTTTTTTTAACATGTAACATAAGCAAATGTCATTCTTAAAAGGTACCAAGCAATTCCTTAGGCCATTAATTTTACATAAAGTATGTAAAATAAGAATGAACCCTATATTAATGTTTTTAGAATTAGATTGTTACCAAATTAATAGTGTAAAAAATGATTAATATTTATTAGGAATTTTAAATAGTTATTATATTATATACTTGTTATGAAAGATAATCTTCTTTATTGAATTTTTCTTATGGCTATAATATCTTGCATTTATATAAGCATATATGAACCGATGTTAGGATCCAAAAATTAAGATAGAACTTGTTATAGTTTCTTTGATAGTATTAAAGACGCCCCTTTAAGTCAAGAATTTAGTCTTTTTTCTACATGGAGATCCCATAAGGATATGGTCTCTTGCCTTAGATTTGCATGACAAGAAGGGTTTGGTCTGTGTTAGATGATGAATTTCTATGAAGTTCTCGTGATGGATCCAAGATCTTGTTAGGTTCTTGTGAAAAAGATCCGATGTGGATCTTCTCACTCATTGTGCTTGCATGTGATTTTTCTTGCCACTCACAATTCATCCCAAAAAACTCTTGCCTTTTCATTCCTAGCAAGCATTTAGGTCGGGTTGTTAGAGAAAATAAGGTTAAGATTTGTGCTAAAAGAAGTTGATATGTTAGGGAGCCTTTTTTGTGGACCAAAACTATTTCAAATCATTGAGCGACTTCCTCTTAAAACCTTAGCTCACCAATCCTACGGTCAGAATTCAAATTCCCATCGACTTTGAGTGGTCCCAATCTTCTATGGAGAGATTGGAGCACCTAGAACTTGGAGAATGAACAAGACTTTTGGCCATTTCATTCTTCAAGTTGTGAGGAGTTTTCTTCAGAGAACTGAAGAAAACCCCTCACTCTTTTTGCCAAAATCGGAGGTAGCCTTGCTACACATTCATTAACTGAAGCCTAAGATCCTATGCGAGAACGCTAGAACGAGTCTAACTTGCTATCAAACACGTTGACTTGCATTATCTTGCATGCCCTTGCATGATGTTTTACATGTAAAATCTCGCACATGTCACTTCGATCATGGATCATTTCGGTTCGGTCAGCCGCCTCGGCTCAATCAATCGAGAACTCCAGTTCAATTGACCACCCTGACATGATTGATCGATCAGTCGCCCCAGCCCAATCAACCGATCACTTTGTTCTGGCCGACCATTCAGCTCGACCGACCTCCGTAGGTCATGATACCCGGTCGATCATCTCTGTCGATCCAATGGGTCAAGAGGCTTACTTCAATTGAATGTTGCATTTCTTGCAATTGTATTTTCATTTCTTGTATGGTAATTGCTTGAATTCATACTTGTATGCACAACAAATATCTACTTTTCAGATGTTATGTGAAATGTTAAATACTATTGCATGAAAAATTAACTCTTTCCTTTGGCATTTGTTTGCATGTGGTGTCTCCCCGAGCACCAACACTTGCGGTATTTGATCCCGATTCTCTTTATAGATGTCAAATGTGATGTATGTAATTATATGCTTAATTTTCTTAATAATGATTCTTGCTTCACAACAAAGCCAAAAACTTGATCCCAAGCAAAAGCTAGGTAAATTTTTCACTATGATGCAAATAAGAATACAATTATAATATTTAATATAGGATGCTACGCAAGTATACATATCATTATCAAGTAATATAAGATTTTTTTATTAAGCCCCGAAAATCGAGCCCACATGGATAACTAACAATATGCAACTTTACAAAATAGGAGAAATTATATAACAAAATTTTACTTAGCAAAATATTTTTACTTAAACTCTAGATGCTATAATAGGAATGAAAATTTGATTCTTGTTGTAATTTTTGATAATTGAAAATAAAGTAAGCAACTACTTAACTTAACTAAATACTTGCAAGATGAAGACAATATAAAATAATTTTTTTTTCCTTATCATTAATCAGTAACAAATATAGGAATTCTGTTGTAGAAGTATTCTAATTATGTTGTACCAAATAAGAGCAATAATATTCTTTACCCTTACTATAGATGCTATAAAAAACATTGGCTAATCTATAGTTTGAATAGTCTTGAAGACGGGTTAGGTAGAGAAGATACTAGCTCTCACTCTAGAGTTTCCTTTTCTCCCTCCACTTGGGGGCTAAAATCTCGTATCAGAACCTAAAACTATAAATCAAATTGGGAGTTTTAGCCTGTCACTCTAAAGACATCTAATTCTACACCCTTCAAAGTTTATTTCCTTATTTATTTGCACTCAATCTCATGAACTACATTCTCATCCATGAAATCAAATGTGATTCTTACCATTTATTGATTGAGACAATATCATCTCGGATCTTACATGTTCTCACAACAGGTATTAACATCTTAATTAGTCAAATCAAGAAGTAAATGAAGTACAAGAATTAAAATCATCAAAATTTCTTCCAACATTAAAGGCTATACTTCACACAACTTCCTTTCAATATTTAATCACTTATCATTTTAAGAAAAAAAAAAGAAAACTGCCCAGAATTCATGAAAAAAACTAGATTCATGATTCAGGTGAGGAGTCGGGGTAGAGACGGGAGAGAGGAGAAGCGGGACAGAGTAGGAAAATACCACGTAGTTTTGTAATAAACCAGCTGAAGAAACAAGAGCTACAGGGTCGGATTTGCGAAAAATTATTTCATACGGACACCCGCATGCAGAAATGCATACGGTGTCTGTTTTCCACCGTCCATCAATTTTAAAAAATAAAAATAAAATAAAAATAGAGTCCACTGTTATCCATCGTTACTATGATGAACAGTGGAGATCGGACACCGCAGGCATTTCTGCATACGGTGTCCGTATGGAATAATTTTTCGGGATTTGTGGCTTGCCTTTAATGAAATTTTTCCAATAAGGTGCCACAATGTGATTTTCAAAACGGGATTTTTGGCGTTTTCAAAATGCGCCGCAGCCAAAAAACTGCCCCAAACACACCCTGAATTGACTGTTTACTCCCAAGCTTTTATCTTGAACCCGTCGACGCTTGGGACAACTTGTCTCGACTGCAAAAATGTTTTAATGTCGTGTTAGGCCGATTTAACTTTACCGACTTGGTTGGACCTGTTGGAATTGGCCATGCCATCTCAATCATTTGGTTCAGCTTGACCGATTTAAATTTGGCTCGAGCGGTGTTTGGTTGCAATCTTGTGTTACGTTTAAGTTAAATTAGATTTATCAAATCTAATAAAATGGAGATGAAACTCGTGAGTAATGACGGAGTAAATCTCTTAAATCTACCATGCAATCAGATTTAATAAATCTAAATTTATGTTGTAAAAGAGAGAACGTTAGTAACATAAACGAAACATAAAAAAATTAATTCAACTTAAATTTAACTCTTAATTTTTTTTATGCTTAACTGAATTTTTCTTAAATTTATGACTAAATGCTATTAAAATCATCCTACCAAACACCCCTATACAGCTTTAAGATCATAATCATTGACAATTTATAATTGCAACTTGAACTTCCTCTCTCCCAAATTTACGTCCAGATTAATTCCACCGCCAATCACTTGTAAACAATTTCGTCCACCTCGTGCTGCTTTTGTTTATTTGTTTGAAGACCACATGAATTGACCATACTTGCAAAAGACAAAAATCAAATTTCAATGAATTCAGAAGTTCAAAACCAACATGGAGCTTAAGTCCACACAAAAAAACAAAAAAAAGGCCACCCCCAAAATAAAAGGCCTCATGTGCGAGAAATTATTGCGTCTGATCCTGACCGTATAAAATTATTGCGTCCAAAATAAAAGGCCTCATGTGCGGTGATCTACGGTCAGGATTATTTCTGTTTTTTAAATAAATAAAAATTTTAGGTGGGGCTCACCGAAATACATCTGGACCATAGATCAGGTGATTTACAGTCCGGATCGGACACCGCACGCAATCCGTATGGAATAATTTTTCCTCATGTGCAACTCATAGTATATGCATATAAAAATTTAAAAATGAACTCCCCTTAAAATTACTAATAAATAAGAACTAATCAAAGTTAGAGAGGCAAATGGGACACAACTCTCATTTTCCCATCTCGTCTCAAACTTCGGTGACATCATTTGCTCATGCAAAGGCTCTGATTTATTCCCAGCCGCCAAAAGAAAACAAACTCTTAGCAAAGGTAATACGTCTTTAGCTATTCATATTTTTGTCAGAGGTTTGAATCATACAACTTATTTCCCATTTTATTTTATGTTCACATATCAACAATAATAAATGTGATTCTCTGTGAATATAATATGACTGTTCAAAGGCAAAGAAACTTGAACGAAATTTCTCCAACTCTTCCAAAACCTCTAGCAAATGTTGCCAGAAAGGACCACGAATTTCATCAACAGCATTTTGGCTGTATTAGCCTTAAAATTCAGTTTTTGAGCCTATAAATATCCAAATAAGTTCTCAGAATAACAATCATCTCTTGTTCTGATTTCTAATTGAGAAAACTAGACAACAAAGTTTCATCATTCCAATCTGTTGCAGAGAAAAGCTTACAATGGGCTCAGTTGCAGAAGAAAAGATCCCTCTTCTCACTCCATACAAGTTGGGAAAATTCAATTTATCACACAGGTGAGCAATCTTTCTCACAGAAATGAGTAAACAATAGTATTGTTCTAGCTAGATACTGTAGGCTTCTTGTGGCTTGAATCAAAATGAGTTTTCTTTGTATCAAGCTCATGATGTGAATGTACTTCGCAGGGTTGTATTGCCACCACTGACAAGGTGCAGATCTTATGGAAATGTTCCACAGCCTCATGCTGCTGTGTTCTACTCTCAGAGAGCTACAAAAGGGGGTCTTCTGATAGCAGAAGCCACTGGAATTTCTGATACTGCTCAAGGGTAAGCTAGATGACTGTTACATAGTCATACATTCTATATAAACAGATCCTTAATTCCAGTAAGATTATAGATCTATATTTAGAACATTTTGCATCAGAAATTTCTGACATTAAGGTCTAATCTTAAATGCACATGTACATCTGATAATTCATTCATTAATTAAACATAATATTTACTGCATGTTTTTTTACTTGGGGGCTGCTTTTGTACTTGATTAGGTACCCAAGTACTCCTGGCATATGGAACAAAGAGCAAGTGGAGGCTTGGAAGCCTATTGTCAATGCTGTTCATGAGAAGGGTGGGATCTTCATTTGCCAAATCTGGCATGTGGGAAGGGTTTCTAACTATGGTATGTACTCCATTAACTATTATAAGTTTAATTAAACATGATATTGTTGAAGTAAAAAATCTTTCTAATGCATGTAATATCTATTGAAGATAAGGCAAAAAAAATAAATTCAGTTAATTTGAACACGCACAACATTAGTTAGAACTTTGACCTAATAGATGTGTGATAGTATTGTAGCTAGAAAATAAGGCAATAGATTTAACATCTTTTTCAACACTTGGTAGAGGTTAATTGAGGATGAATATCCACAAAGCCAGCCCTAAAAGTTGGGATAAGGCTAATGGTTAAGAAGGCAACCAAGAAAACTATTGTCTTTAATAAATCAAGAAAACTATTTCTAGTAGAAGTCATGATATAATTGGTTGTCTTTTAAAAAAGAAAAACTAACCATTTAATAAAAATTAAATTAAATTAAAGGTCATTACTCATAACAGACTGTCTGTTTAAATTGTAGCTTATAGTTTCACATGTGATTCGTCCGTTGTTACTTGTTCTTATATCCTATATTTTTCTTTGAATATTTAGATTACCAGCCCAATGGACAAGCTCCTATTTCCAGTAGTGAGAAAAAAGTCAGTCCGCAACCTCAACATGACGGTTCAATCTCAACATACTCCACTCCACGACGGCTTGGAATCGAAGAGATACCACAAATCATCAATGATTTCAGACTAGCTGCAAGAAATGTCATTGAAGCTGGTACAATTTACTATAATTTCTCTTATAAGACTAACCATTCTTTCGCCTCATCAAAAGTTTGGTTATAATATTAAGATTATAAGTAGTTCTGGCTACCAGTTGTGCGCTAAAATATTGCATCTAATTGAAGAAAAAAATGGAAATTCCAACATTATGTAACATGTTTAAATCTTGGTAAAATTTCATGGATGTGCCTGCACTACACGTCTAGGCATTAATTACTAGCAATTGTTAGATTCATATGCCCCATTAATTTGATGAAAAATGATGTTAAAAGAAAAAAAAATCTAGCGCATGAAGAGTTTTCCAACCCGATGAGGTTTAAAGGGTTGATATACACAAGCTTATCTCTATATTTGCTGACAACTTGTTCTCATAATTTGAGCTCATGAACTCATGCAAGGAGCATGGAGTGAACATTCCTAAAATTTGAGTGTGCTTTAATCTAATATACTAAACTAATAGATTATGGTTTGAGATTAACTTAAAATTTTGACAAACTCAAATTTGTAATGTCTATAACAATAAGTTATGAAAAAAGGCATCAAATTATAAATTTATGTTTCCAAAGCCTAAAATAATAATAATAAAAAACTTAGCTAAATGAAATCTAAATAGTTGTGCTAAAGTTAATATTGTCGCTAATTTATATAAATTTTACTTCTTATTTGTTTGTCTAGTAGAAGCATGACTCCATTGTGTTGAAATTAGTTTATACGAAGCCTAACTTGAATGTCGTAACTTGTAGGCTTTGATGGAGTAGAGATACATGGAGCACATGGCTATATACTTGAGCAATTCATGAAAGACAGTGTTAATGATAGAACAGATGAGTACGGGGGTAGCCTAGAAAATCGTTGCCGCTTTGCTTTTATAGAGATTGGTGCTGAAAGAGTAGACCTCCGATTATCTCCCTTTGCGACTGAGGTAGATTGTTGGGATTCTGACCCTGATGCACTTGGGGTCTACATGGCTCGGTCATTGAATAAATATGGGCTCTTATACATCCATATAACTGAGCCTCGAATGACTTTTGAGGAAGGAAAGTTGAAGATTCCTCAACGCCTTCATGAAATACGAAAAACTTATAAGGGGACCTTACTCACAGCAGGAGGCTATGATAGAGAGGAAGGAAATAAGGCTATTAAAGAAGGATATGCTGATCTAATAGCATTTGGCCGCTTTTTTGTAGCTAATCCAGATTTGCCTAAAAGATATGAACTAAATGTTCCTTTGAATAAGTATAATAGGCTTACCTTCTACACTTCTGATCCAGTTGTTGGCTACACTGACTACCCCTTTCTTGAATCGTTGAAGGAATAATCACGTTATTCAAATGCTAGAGATCTCAATATCTCTAGCAATACCTGGTTCTTGGACTATTGAAAAAAATCATTGCAAATGTATTTCTAGTATGACATTGAAGGGTAAACTCTTTGTTACAGTGATTGTCTTTGTTACAGTGATTGTTTGTTATCTTACATTTCAAATTGTATGTTCATTTGATTTGAATTTGTATCTTATAATTTCATATTTGATTTGATAAAAGTATACTATTTGTGCTACCAAACTCTCAAAGTAATGAATCCATATATTGTGTAACATATTTTATTTGTTGATAAAGGGTGAGTAATTAATTCAAAAAATTAAATAAAAACATTTTCCATTTTGAGACTCTTTGAAATTCATAAAGAAAGCTGAGATGGAAAATTTCTTGTATTCTTATATAGGTCACAAACTAATTTATTTTGGTAAAGATCATCCACATCTTCATAAGCCCTACTCTAATTACATAAAATTGGTTATGTAAATCCACAATCACTAGTAATGTCAATCAACTTCTTCATGGCAACATCCATGAAATTTATTTTCAATTTACCACTTTTTCCCTAATGGCTCAATATTAATTTTAACTACCCAGTTATTGTGGAAAATATAAAATATTATTGTTAGTTAGAACATTTAATCACATGTGATTATTTTTTTTTACATTTAACACTAGCAAATTTCATTCATAAAAGATACTAAGCATTTGTTTAGGCCATTAACTTTACATGAATTATGTAATATAAGAATGCATTTTATATTATTGTTATTAGAATTAGATTGTTATCATATTAATAGTATCACAAACGATTAACATTTATTAGGATTTTATAATAAATATTATAATATATCCTCATTATGAAAGATAATCTTCTTTCTTATGGCTATATTATCTTGGATTTATATAGACATATATGTACCAACATTAGGATCAATAATTTAAGATATAACTTTTTATACTTTCTATTATAGTATCAAAGATGTCTCTTTAAGTCAGGAATTTTAGTCTCTTTTCTACATGGAGATCTATGGAAGATAGGTTCACTTGCCTTACATTTACTTGATAAGAAGGGTTTGGTCCATGTTTGATGGTGAAGTTTTATGAACTTCTTGTGATGGATCCAAGATCTTGTTGGGTTCTTGTGAAAAAGATCCTATCCAATCACCTACAATATGCCTACCTAAAATTCACCACTGTGATTCAGCTTATGTACCTTATTATAATATTCTCACTCATTGTGCTTGCATGTGATTTCCTTGCCACTTGCAATCCATTTACCTGTGATGTATCCACCTACATCTTATTAGCCTCATTATGACTTGCCTTGCTAGCACTATTAATTTTCTTGCAAACATGCATGTATATAACTTTACTTTCTTTGCCTTTCTCACCTATCTCAATGATCTCATCAGGATCCTTTTAAAAATACTTTAAGGATCATATGAAAATCTCATGAGGATCTTATCTTGTATGGTGATCTCATCGCCTTTAATTTAAGAAAAAAATTGGCTTAACATTAACATATAAATTGTTATCCATTTTCATAAATAAATAAATATGTATATATATTATCATTTATAAATCAAATAATTAATTAATTAAAATGGCCTCAATTTTTATTAATATTAATATTAACATAATAACTTTACTATACCAGCAAACATTGTCCTATAGCCATATTTTTTGGCTTAAATAGACATGAAATGGCTAATTGCTATGGTGTGGAGCCGAAGATGACAGCAGAGAAGCTACCACATATGTGCCAGTTTATGGGTGCATGTGCGCCCATCATATGGCGGTGCATAGCAAGGTCGTTGGCCATTTGGCGCCTATGCGTTCACATTGGGGCACAAGTTTAGGAATTGGCGCTCAAGTGCAAGCCTTGGGTATCTATGCGCATAATGTGTTGGGCGCAGTTTTTTGCTTCTCGAGAGCTTGGAGTTTAGGCGCCAAATATGGGTGTCTAAGTGTCAGGAGCAGTTAACTTGGAGAATTCAGTTTTTAATCCCAATTTCAAATAAGTTTCGTGAGCCTTCGTGATTCTTCCTTCGAAATTCTTCAGCGAGTATCACGAGGAAGGTGAGAAGTGTAGAAGTGGTGGATTTTGGTGATTCAGCATGATTTTTGCGTCGAATCGGAGAGGGAAGATTGTTGAGCGTGTCCTGTAAGTTTCTTTGTGTAGAGAGGAAATTATGTGAGTTCTTTGTAAACATTTTTTGAATTTTATAGTGAATTTTCTGGTGGTGTGGCTCCGTGATTTTTTCTCATTCTTGAGTTTTTCCACATAAATTCTTGTGCACTTTTCTGGTTGCTTTGATTATGCTTTCTACCTAAAGTTCGCTTCAGTTTTCTCAAATTGGTGTGATCCCATTATTCTGCAGTGTGTTTTAGTTTCTTATTGATCCCTAGACCAGGTAAAGTTGGGAATTATTCTTAAATTTCTTTATCAAACCGATATCAAAGCGGGGTTTGATTCAAGTGGGAGTAATGGTAAAAAAATAAGGTTCAAAGTGGAGAAGTTTAATGGGACGAACATCACATTCTAGAAGATGTAGGTGGAGGATTTGTTGTAACGGAACAATTTTATTTTCCTCTATAAGGAATCACAAGGAAGCCTGAGTCTATGCCTATAGAAGAATGGGAAATGTTAGATCGAACAACACTAGTTTTGATTAGGTTATCACTTTTATCATTTGTTGCATTCAATATTATGAATGAGAAAACTATGATGGATCTCATGGCAACACTGGTCAAGATGCATGAAAAATCGCCTACTTCTAATATTTTTTTTCTGATGGAGAAATTATTCAACATGAAGATGGTGGAAGATAGTTCAGTGGCAGAGCATCTCAATAACTTCAATACTGTGATGAGTCAGTTGTGTTATATGAGGATCAAATTTGATGATGACGTCAGACTGTTGGTGATATTATCTTCATTGTCAGAAGGCTAGGATGGTTTGGTAACGAAGGTGATTAATTCTTCTGAGACTTGAAAGTTGAACTTTGATGATATCATTAGTTTGATGCTGAATAAAGAAGTTCGCAGAAAAGCAGTGAATAGTGAATCTTCAGGTTCTACATTGAACGATGATAACAGAGGAAGAAATTTGGATAGAAATATAGCCAGAGGCAGATCCAAATCTAAAAAAGGAAAGCCCAAGTCAAGTAGAGGAGAATGTTGAAACAACAGTAAGAAAGGCAATTCCAAGATGGATTGCAAATCCCCAAGGAAAACTGGTGGTGGAGGACAGGAGAGTAGTTTCGTTGCTAATATATCCACTGACAAAATCTAAAGTGACTCTCTAGTGTTATCCCTAGTTATTATTGAATTCTAGATAGTGGATTCAGATGCCTCTTTTCATGCTTGTCCTAATAAAGAGACATTTAAAAACTACACTTTAAGTGATCTAGGGAGAGTTTATTTGAGAGATAACAAGGACAACAATATAGTAGAAAAGGATGATGTTGATATCAAGTTGTCGAATGGAACTGTCTGGAAGCTTACTGAAGTTAGACATGTTCTAAGTTTGAAGAGAAATCTTATCTCAATGAGTCAGTTGACAAAGTCAAAACTCGTGACTACTTTCACAGGTGAATCATTGAAGACGACTATAGGGCATTATTGATGGCTCTGGGCAAGATTGAAGGTACCCTTTATTTGATCAATGAAATGGGTTTTTTTCATTGATGTGTTGGAACCAGGGTGGTGTAGGTCTGTGGCACTGTAGGCTTTGGCATATGAGCGAGAAAGGTATGAAGTCACTACTTTCAAAGAATAAGCTTCAGGGTTTGAAATTAATTGATCTAGATTTCTAAGAAGATTGTATATTTGGTAAGTAAAAGAAAGTTTCTTTCTTAAGGGGTTGATCAATGGTGAAATCAAAGAAACTAAAGTTAGTGCATACTGACATGTGGGGTCCTACTCCAGTTCAATCAATTGGAGGTTCTCACTATTTTTTCATGTTCATTGATGATCACATGAGAAAGACATGGGTTTATTTCTCAAAACAAAAATCTAATGTATTTGAAATCTTTAAGAAATGGAAGGCTACGGTAGAAAATGAGACAAGTCAGAGACTGAAGTATCACATATCAAATAATGGAGGCAAGTACCGTGATCGGTAGTTCAAAAATTTTGTGCTATAAAGAGGGTTAAACATGAGTTCACTATCCCAAGGACACCGCAACAGAATGGTGTGGCTGAGTGCATGAACAAAACTATCATGGAGCGTGTCAGGAGCATGAGACTACATGTTGGCTTGCTAAAATAGTTCTTGTTTGAAACAATAAACACTGCAGCTTATCCAATTAACCATAGTCCATCCGTATCTTTGGAGGAAGGCTTACCTGAAGAAGTCTGAAGTGACAAAAAAGTATGTCTATTTCATTTAAGAGTATTTGCGTGTTCTGCATACATGCATGTTGATGCGGGGCCCAGAAGCTAGCTTGACTCAAAATCGTTTAAGTGCACTTCTATTGGGTAAGACTCAAATGAATTTGGGTACAAATTCTGGGATTATGAGAGTCAGAAATTCATCAGAAGCAGGGATGTCATTTTCAATGAAATAACGATGTGCAAGGATAAGGTCAGAACTCAGGACAGTCCGTCAGTTACTTTTGAAGAATTCAGAAAACACTGGTGCTCATGATGGTGGAGAAAGAAATAGTGCTCAACTAGAAGGTAGCATTGAAAGTTCCTCAGTCACCTGCTACAGAAGATAGAAGATCCAGCAGAGTGATATGACTCATATAAAGCTATTCTCCTTTTTTACACTATTTGTCACTAATTGATAGTGGTGAACTAGAGTGCTTTGGGGAGGCCATTCAAGTTGAAAATTCAATGATGTGGGAGCTCGCAATGGATGAAGAACTGCAATCTTTAAAGTCAAATCAAACTTGGGATTTGACGGTACTACAAAATGACAAAAGAGCATTATACAATAAGTGAGTTTATATGTTGAAAGAAGATTCATATTATAGTAAGTGCAACAAGGCAATACTTGTTGTGAAGGATTTTTAGCAAAGAGAAGGATTGGATTATACAAAGATTTTCTCCCAGGTGGTGAATATGACAACTGACAGGGTTGTATT